TCTCCGCACGCTGCCCCCACCAGAGTGCCGCAGTGTGCCCCCGCAACACACGAGCACAATGGCCTGATGCTCCAGAGGGACAAGTGTACCTGTCAGCGACGAGAGACATGAGAACAAGGAACGTGGCAGTATGCGATCCGTGAATCAAGGTCTGTTCAATCCGTGTGAAAAGCAAAACGTGTCTTGATAGGACAGAAATAAAAAACAAAGGAAGATAATGGATGCCAACTGGCGGGTTGGTTACGTGAAACTCTGTACACCTGCAAATGTTTAAAAATAACTCACATTTATTGGATGCTTCGTTTGTGCTGGGCACTCTGCTAAACACTTCACGTGCATTAGATTCTCCTAAAACCTAATGAGGTGGATACTTAACATCATTCACATTCCATAGTACAGACCAAGAAACTGGGGTTTAGAGAAATCACATAACTTTCTCAAGATTATAGTCTAGCAAATGGCAGAGCCAGATTCAGATGCCAGTGATCTGACCTCAGACTCACGCAAAGGTCCCCCTGATGTCTGTGGAACGCACAACTGAACGAGTGGATGAGTGTGCACTCAACTGCCCACACTAGAAAAAACTGAGCTTCTCGTAACTGGCTGGTTGCTTCTTATCCTACAAATGCTCTAAATCTAATGTCACTCAAGACAAAAAAATTGGATCATGTCAACAGCACAAAGAGCATTTCTTTGGCTCCCACTCCCATGAGCCACTGGGAAAATCTTCCCCAAGGGGGACTCAAATAGCTCCTTGGATGAGACTCTCCACTGCCTCCCGTGGGCCAGGCTTCAGTCACCCACAGAGCCAGCCACAGGCCCTCACCACTGCAGGCAGAACCCACTCCAGTCACTTCCAGCCACCTGCCCGCTGAGCTCACTGAAGCTGACTGGCCCCTGCGGCCGCCGCGCTGCTGCTGTGTCCACTTCGAAGGTGTGGAGCCGCCTCCCCGGGTACAGGCACTGCTCTCATGCAAGTGCCACCGGCGTGGCCAGCACCAGGCTCACTGCCTCTGCTGGTGCTGCGGTCACGTCGCTGGAGCTGCTCACTGCCGGGTCAACACCTTGGAAAGCTGGCCCAGCTCCCATCGCGCTCTCGGTGGGTGGTCGTGTGGGAGCTAGGAGCCTTTGTCTTTGTTTGCTCAAGCCTCCAGATGAGGGACAGACTGAGCGACAGGACATCATGAACTACTCGAAATGACCTCCTCCAAATAAAGCTTCGTTCTGGACCGTAGGACTTCCTGGGAAGTGACTTGGTCCCTCAGATTCCCGGAAAGCCCACCTCTTCCCAAGACGTCTCCAAATCCCCCAGGGAAGCAGCGGAGCAAGCTGGGCCCCGCTTCCCACAGCACCCGCCCCTCCCGCCTGCTCGGCCTTGTCCAGGCGGCTTCCTTCTGCCACTGGCGGCTCGGAACCACATCTGTGCTCATCTTCAACCATTCACAAGACCTCACGATGCGCACTGGTGAACTCGCCTGGCGCCCGACTTCGCCCTCTGTCCCTTCCAGTCTGTTTCATATATATCGGTCTTGTTGTCGCACTGCATTCTGCCTGAACGGCAGCAGTCTGATGGTGGCTCACCGCCCCAGCCGGGCCGGCTGCGCTCAGGTTGCCTCCACTGCTCTCAAGCCGCTTGACCTTGAACATGCAACTTGAGCCTTGGAGTCCTCATCGGTGAAGGGACATCTACGACGGCGCCTTCTTCACGGGGTGGCGAGGATTAAATGATATAACAAGCGAAAACACTTACACCTACTGGCACACAAAAGGCACTCGATAGGAGAGGACGTTTATTATCGCAATTATTACTGTAATTGAGAAAACTGTGAGGTTCTGTAGGGGGCACACAAGAGAGAAAGGTCCGTCTACCCTGGGATTCCAGGAGAACTGTGGGGAGGAGGTGGCGTAATGAATAAGTGCTTGTCCGGAGAACCATAGGGAGAAAGAGCATTCCAAGCATAAAAAAGAGTTTGTTCAAAGGCCCTGAGGTATGACACATCTTGGCAAGTCCCGAGAGCTGCCGGCAGATCAGCACAACCAGAGTAAGGGTTCAAGGTCAAAGAGAGCGAGATCTGAAAGAACCACTGAACAGCCTTAAACAAGGAGCAAACGAAATCATATTGGTCTTTCAGAAAGCTTTAGGGAGCTGCCCCCTTCCAGGATCACCATTATGATGATCAGTCAGCATGAATGCTGCTGGAGTACATTAATGCCGCAAAACACAGGACTTACTGTCATTCACAGTTCTTTCGTCTGTTCACAAGTCTTTGAAAGTTTTTGTTTTCTTGTTTGAGTGTTAACAATGAATTGGCTTATTTAGTTATTTATTTTGGCTGGTTTAGTTGCTGCGAAAGGTCTTTACCACTAACATCTTCCAGATGGGTTTTATTTATTTTGGTAAATACTCATCTTCCTAACCACAAGGAGAGTCGTAGGTGGCCGCTTCCTGGCATTCACCTTCGAAGCACACACACAGCAATGGCAGTTTTGTGGGTCAGGACTGGGAGATGGAGGCGGATGTGGGAGGCAGAGCCAACTTAGGGGTTAGCACTGAAACTGGAAGTCAAATCATGTCCCAGGATAACAGCAGCATGAATTCAAAATGAAAAGAGCACGTGCTGTGACGTGAAAGGGAGGGACAGGCTTGCAAAGTCCATCTTTTGGGGAAAGTTAATGACAAAGGTGGTCCCTGGAGGGGAACGTTGGAGACAGACAACTGGACTGTTTGAATACATGTGGATTCATCTGTTCGCTTACCACTCCTGAGCTCAGCCTATTAGCCAATTCTGTTAATTCTCTTCGTTCATAAATGTCCCGGGTACTGAGAAACTAACTTGACCCCACAGAACAGCATGTGCTCTCCAATCAGGAAGGACCCAGAACAGCAGAAAGGGAATTCACTGCCACCGGGCACTCACTGTGTCCCAGGTGTGCTCTTGTATGCTGCCTCCAAACTTAATCTTCATGACCCTCCTTTGATCAAATCAGCAGACATGAGCTGTCTATTTCTCTGGCCCAATTTTCATTGTCCCATATGCAAGAAGATGGAGGCAGCAGGTGGGAAAGGGGTCACCGGGTAAGGGAAATAAAGCTAAAAACTTCAGTTCAGACACCCATCACTCGACTCTCCCTCCTCCTTCCCAGAACGGTAATCTTTGTGTCTGATCTTAGATTTTTCACCAAACAAATATTGCTTTTTTTTTTCCCCAGATCACTTTTTCCTTTTAACACAGCATTGCCCCCCAAATGTCCTCGTCATTCCTCGTCTAACAGACCCACTAACGTGCTCCATTCGCATCTGTGTGTCTGTGTGCTCGGGTGCTGGTGTGTTGGATTCAGGCACAAAGAGGGAGGGCGTCATCCCTGCGGAACCTGCCAGTCCGCATGTCAAGTCCGGAATCTGGACACACATCCTGTCACTGCCACGGGTGCCTCTTTGCATTGTAGTCTCTGCAGCCTGGGGCTGCTGAGCATCAGTGGTATTTTGTTTAAGTTGTTAAAAAAGCAAAAACGAAGAAAAGTAGCAAACAAAAATAAGCTGATCCTATCAACCTATCATGTGGTACTCAAACTTAGCATGTGGTTATTATCGTTAACTGAGAAATTCAAACAGCATTATAGAAACACAAAGTGTGGAAAGTAGCAAGATTCTTATCAAGCATGCTTTGTTTCTTGGACAATGATTTTTCTCCTGAAAAATCAAAGCAAACAGTGAATTATTTATTGAGCACCTACTATGTGACAGGTACTCTAATGCCAACTGAATGTCATAGGATTTGTTTTTATTATTGTTTTTTTCTTCTTTAAAATATTTAAAGCCTTGATCAGAATGCTGTAGCTGTTTTCTCTTCAAGCAAATTTATTAGTTTGAATGCCTTCAGAAGTTTAACACTGGTGACTATGCAGAGTTTTCTGGGTCTTTCTTGTTGTGTTTTGTTTCTACTACTGTTTTTTCCCCTTAAAATTTTCTTATCCTCCCCTCTGATTTGTAGGGAGAAAAAAAATCTAGCATCTGGGTCTGAGACCACTTGAAATGTCTGGGCTGGGGATTGCTAATGACCTCCCAGAGATAACCCAAATTGCTGATTTAGCAAAGCCCATTCTTGACCTTGACACAAGACAAGACAGGCAAAGGGGAAGGACTTGGGAGGGAGCAGAGAAAGAAAAAGGATCATAGAGGCGCTCAGATCTCACCAGTCCCCTCCCCCATTCAGCAAACACCTGGCTGAGTTGGAAAACATGACCGGTCCAACCTTCCTATTGGCACCAATTGAAGCTGTCAGCTCTCGGCTTGTCACCAGTTGCACTGGGAGGCCCCGGGCAGCCACAAGAGCCCTAATTAGGCAGAAATGACACTTCTACAACTGACCTGCCAGGACCTTTGGCAAACCATTTAACATCATTAGTTAACATTTTTTAAAAGTGTGAATGTAAATGAACAGCCAGTGGCTTTCAATGGAGTTTGTCGGTGGCATCCCCCCCCCCACACTCTTTCTCTTTTTACATGAATAGTCCACTTGTTTTCTCCAGGATCGGAGGGAGGCACCGGGGAAGAAGGAAGAAGCAGACCAGTCCTCAGAGGACAGACATGTCAAAGCACAAACAAGCTCAGAAGAGCCGAGAGACCACCTCTTCCTGCCTTATCTGGGCCCAAACAGGGCAGAGCAGGGGATAAGGATGTGCCCAGCAGGCTAGACTCATGCCAGGTCCCCTCCAGGAGCCATGGACAGCAGTCATTCCAGGCTTTGGGTCGATGGGAAACAATGTCATTGCCTGACTCCAGTGCCTCTGAAGTATCCTTTTGCTCACACCTCCAAACCCACTTGTTGGCATTCTGAACAAGCTGAAGGTTTGCAGCTGTTTAGCCAATGCCTGGTGTGTGCTTAAGTCTCCATGTACCCGTTTTAAAGGTACCTAGTCCCTCTGTAAAGGAATGGAGTTCTAGGGGTAGCCATTTCGGATGCTGGTTTGATACTTACACAGATTAGTTCATTTCCTACCTGAAGCGGCTACTTCCCACCTTGAGTCACACTTCATTTTGTTCTTTGCTGTACACCCACAGAATCCGTACACGCCAACACTCTCCATCTGTAGGAGAGGGGAAAGAGTTTCACTGTGAAAATGTCACTCCGTCTGTCTGTTTCCACGCTGCTCTCAAATCGTGCGCCCATGCTGGCTGACAGTGCAGAGGCAGCTCGGGGTAGGAGGTAGAAAGGTTCAGGTGGGCAGCCAAGGGGCCAGCTCCTGGCAGGCTTTGCTCTTACCACCTACCTACTCACTGTGTGGCCCTGGGCAGGGTGGCTTTCTCTGAGTCTCAGGTGTTTTCATAAGAAGATGCCTTACTACTTCAAGCGAGAAAAATATAGGCGGAAGTATCATGCTAACCAAAGAACGTGTAAAGGAGTCGTGGACCCTTAAGAGCTGCCAAACTTGAGAAGCCATGCCGGGTTCTCCTCTCTCATTTATCCTGCAGAGAGCAAGTCGAGAATCTGTCCTCTTGCTTCCCAAGGCCGGCTGGAGGAAGCCACACGACCACCAGGGACACATCCCAGGTCCCTCCGTGCACCCCACCCCCACTCCTGCTTATTCTCAGAAGGACTGTGAATACCACAAAGGAGAGTGCAGGGGTGCAAAGCAAATTCCTAGGACCCTCAATTATATTAATTCTTTAGCCTCTCTGCTGGATCCTAAACAGCATGAGGGGAAGCAGGTCTCGACCGTCTGCGGGTTTCTGGGAGCTCTGAGAACAGGCGGCCACGCATTCGGTGCACCGTCAGTGCGTGCTCTGGGAAGGGCGCACACTCTGAATTGGGAGAGTTTTACTTGTCTCTGAATTACAGACGAGTAAAATCAAGCAGGTGGTGTGTGGTACAGCATGCCTGTAACTAGTCATCAGAGGGAAGGAAGAGAAAACAATCTTCGTTCGGGGCGGAAAGCGAGAGAAAATACTGGAAAACGTCCTTAATAACAGTAAATGGGGAAGAGAGAGAGAGAGAGCAGCTCATCGTGATGGAGCATTTAGTGCTTTTAAGCTAAATACCTCAGCATATTAAGCAAATAGAGACAAGCCAGCTAGAAGATGTCAGCAAATTGAAGCGAACAGTGCTCAGAAAGCCGATAGGAGGTGTCTGGCTTTGACCCCTTTTCCCATCACAGGGCTGGTCGCGCCTGCTTGTTTAGTGTTGCCTCCCCTCTCCAGCTGCGGGGCTTATTGAAAAGCTCTTGCTCCCTGCCTGGTTTTGGCACATTTTCTGCAGGTGCCTCCTACTGCGGCCACAATGGGCTGCTAGGGAGGTTCAGACCTGTCAACAGCTACAGGGGAGGGGGTGGCGGTGGCGGAGGGAGTGCAGCCATTGTCTTAAAGGGCCAGTGACATTGTGAGCCTCCTGGAGCCTGCAGCACAGGCACCTGCTAATGAGATGAGGCCTTTCTCCCGCGCGCTCTTTCTCTCTTTAATGATTTAACTTGATCGCTTTGGTGCCTTTCTGGAAGGGGAATTGCTCCATTGATCATATAAAGTAATTGCCTGTAAAACATTGCTCTGCGGCGACAACCACTACTTCCCTGGCTGAAAATGTCACCGCAATTGAAAAGCTCTTAGCCCCAGTTCAAGACCGAGGTTGGTCAAGGGAACAGTCTGCAGACGCTCTCAAGTACTTGCGTGTTCAGAGTTACGAGTTTTGGGTGTGACTGATGGATCTTCAAGACAGAGAACTTCCCTTCCTGCAGCACAGTATGACTTTATGTGAGGTTGTGAAAGACTGAACAGACTAAACTTAAAACTCCCTCAATCCTAAAATTACATAGTTTGGGGAAAGGCATTGTTTTCTTAATCACCCAGGACATTCTTTTCTGGGAAGCCATGAATACCGGAGGGACGCCCACATGGGTCAAGTGTGATTTAGGGAAGCATCTTTGTTCTCATCACACAAGAAGACAGTATCTTTGTCTAGGAGGTAGCAGGGGCCTTGGTTTCGGAAAGGCATGATTCTCTAATTGGGTAAGATTTGCTGATTCTTCAGACCTGTCACTTGGCGGCAGCAGTGACACACTGTAGGAACAGGGACTACACACCTAAGTAGTTTTCATAAACACTTTATTAGTCATTGCCACGCCAATGTGAGGGTGTAATTCACCTGGGAAAAATCACTTGGTTGTAGGCAGGAACCCCCTGCCCCCCAGTGAAATAAACAGCTGTCAGTGATGGCTTCATTATCCTCTGACAGGTGAAAGATTAAGTTTGTATCTGAATGAGAGAGACTTTGTTCCATTTAATTGATGGGAGGCACCACTTGCTAAGTGAGTTGCTGCCAGATTGTTAATGTTACTAACTTGGGGACAAAGCTTCAGGTGAGTCACCTCCCAATAGAATGAACCAGGAATGTTTTTTGTAGCTGATGAGGTAACCAGCAGACGTGCTTATTACTATACTTTTTGAAAAAGGCAAAAACATCTGCCTGCTTACTTGACGAGCAAAAGGGAGTATAGAGCATCCAGCTAGAAAAGGCCGTTTAAAGTGTTAAATCTGAAGAAATCGGTAGAACTTTTTACATGTAAACCTTCCGAAAGGCCATGGTACAAGTTTCATAACTTGTAAGTAGATGCAGCAGTTGTTTTTGTTTTGTTTTGTTTTTCTTGGAATTTAGAAATTATGGATTTTAGATTTTTATATCTTGAAATATTGTCAGAATATATGAATATTCTGTTAGGGTGATTACATATATTACACTAAAATGTGCTATATATAATAAAAGGTATTTTCCCTTTACTTACCCAGATAGTAAAGAGAATTTTTAAATTTCTTAAATTTAAGCCCATTAAATAAATTGATTCCTGAATATGAAGAATTGTGTTGGCAGCTTTTCACAAACAGCTGGAGTTTGTGGTTGTTGATTTTTGATGGGAAGGAGAGGTGAAGTCTGTGCTGCTGTAGCTTATATGGGAATGTCTTTATGATTTCCTTATCTATAGAAATGATTTCTGTAAAGGCAAGTGGATGAGCGGTAAATAGGACCATAGTCATTTCTAGAAGCTTCACCTAGTAGATGGGCAGTCAAGACAGTAAAAGTGGGTTGAGTTAAGCCCCTGCAGCCAAGATAGGAAAGCCTGCACTACCGAGGCTAGAATCCCAACCCCCCCCCCCCCCTCCCGTGTCAAGAACCTCAGGGAAGCAGGAATGCACTGGGAGGGTGGCCTCGGCAGTGGGAGGTGCCCGAGGCTGGCTGGCCTGGTGCTGGTGCTCAGGCCACGTGTCCTCTGCATGAACTCCCAGAGTGAGAGTGTGAGTGGATGGTGTTAACACTTCTTGGGGGGTGGGGCATTTGAAGAGGAACAACAAGCCAAACAAGCACCTCCTCAGTGGAACGAATGTCTATCTGGATGTCTGTCTGACAGCAGCCACAGGACTGCTTGCACTTTTGCATCCTCCGTTCTGGTTTATTTGCACACGATGCAAAGAGGTCTGAATAGAACTCAAGTTCAGAAACAACAAAATGGAGCGTCAGTCTTATTCCGCATGGATCTTTGTAGCATGTTTTAAACCGCCTGACTTCACCAGGTAGAAATTCACCTTGAATTAACATTTGTTTGAACTTCATGCTGTTAAATAGGGTTTGTCAAAACGTTGGGCATGCGTTAAAAAAAAATAAAAGAATATGTTTTAAAATGCTGCATCATTCCTACATCCGTGCACACCGAACTGATGAAATGTGCACAGAGTGATGAGCATTATGCCCTGGGCTACGATGTGATCGTTCCGGAGAGGAAGAGCTAACACCCTCTATAATCAGATCTATACATTAACTTATGGAGCTAAACCACAGACACTTCAACCGGAGCCCTTTATTTACTTGCTGTGTACACTTGTTACCAACAGGTATCTCAGCCGCTCAAAGTTAACACACAGAAATGTTAAGATTTTTTATACTTAAATAAAAAGTTAACATCAGGCTGATGGATAGATTAACAGTACCTGTTGAGAAGTCTGTATTTCATATATAAGGTGTCCTTACTTTCCCGGTAGAAAATTATGTGAATTTGAACTTTGCTTTTTAGTTCCTGAATTCATATAGAACTACTGGCTAAAGGAAGACAAAGATCTATTTTATGCTTTAGACGAATGCATGGGATCATTCTAAATGAACGTTTCAGCTGCAGTTCGCATGACTGAGTCAGACATGGTGGAAGCTATATAATAAGCACAGACCTCGCTCCCCTCCCCCAGGAAGAGCCTCGTTCTACTTTTTTGTTTCTTACACTCTTCCTAGAATTACCTGCTGCCAAGTTTCCTTCCTTTCAAAAGTCAGAAAGCACTAAACAGCCAGAGGAGTGTTGTCATACTCTGTTTTTCTCCAGTATGATACAGGATCACAACCCCTTTCCTCTAAACATATCCTTCCCGAGTTATAGCTTATTTTAAAATATCCAACTGAAATAGATGCACTTTAGTAACAACACACGTTCACTGATCCAAAGGACTGGTTTTAGATGCCTACCATAAAAAATCCGAAAACTTTACCTACACATTTTGTCAAAACTTGATGAGATAGGATGGCATGAGGTGTTTAGTCCTAAAGCCTGAATGTGGTGAGCAAGGTGAGTCTCATAAACACAGCAATCGAATGGGCTGACCCTGATGTGACAGCCAAGCCTTAACCCCAGAGGGTACCGGCGTGTGATGTTCTCTGTCTGATCCACCAGCCAGGGTCTAGTTTTGTGCAGAGGAGTATAGTGCTTTTTTTCTTAGCATTAAACCTTGAAAAAAGAGTGTGAAAAGTTCATGGCAAGCCCCTAGTGAGTTAGTCAAACGCAGAAAACATACACAGGGGAAAGTAAAAACAGTTTTTTTTAGTTTAAAAAAAAAAACACCACCACCACACATGGTGATTCCTTTTGTTCTCATATAACAAATACTACTTGGAGATAAAGTCTGTTGCAAATATAAATTCAAAGAGATCTTATCATTTTGAATTCTTCATTTTGCTTGCATTTCCTGCTTTTGCAGATTTTTAATTATCTCAAAAAAAGACAACTAATTTTCCAATAATGGGTTCATGAGAAATGTACAGAAAAAACTATTAATTGAACAG